GAATAAACCATGATACGCGAAATCACTCAAAAATAATCTGAACTCAATAATGACCCGATTCGTACTAACTAAGAAACAATGAACACTAAGGTACACCAGATAGCTCTGGTATTTACACTTTGGTGTTTACTGGTTCTTATTTAAAGGCCACTTTCTGTTTATCGTGTCTGAATTTGGAATATCGTTGACACGTTCCATTTTTAGTATTTTTGAGCTCAAAAAGCATAAAAAACATATTATGTGTGACATCATTAGATTCATGTCATCGAGTACAACGACTTTTGTTACAAGAAAATTTTTGATCCCATATGAAAAAGATGAACTTATGCTTGTAGCATAAAAACATGAAGACTTAAATGCTCAAAACATATCTCATTATTTTTCCCACTTGGAGCCCTACAATTTCTATTTGAAAGATTTTTCGATTACTACCCACATTCAATAGTTACTTGGGTGTACAATTTTATCTCGGACACCCTGTATATAGATATAGTGGACTCCCAGAGTAGAGGTTCTCAGCGCGGAGATATATTGAGGGGTGGAATGGGAAAATCGCGTCTACCTTCTGAAATATAAGGGATGGATAAAAATGTTTCAAATAAACTTTGTTTCATATTTAAGAATAAAAATTATGGAGGAAAAAAAAAATTTTTTCATAGATTAGATTAGAAGCTGCCCTTTCTATTTCATAGTAATTTTTTGAATTAAATTATATTGCTATGAAAATATAATGACTCAGATTTTTAAATATTTTTTACTATTATTTGAAATTGAAAAATGACATTTTTTCCATTTTTTATCATTTTTTTTCGCCTATCGTACATTTGAACAGTTGTAGGTGTTGAACGGTACAAAATAGGGATGAAGTGCTTCATATGTTTTTTATCGGAAATATTTTGCTCTTCAAATTATATTCGACTAGAATTTATTCAACGGAATTTTATGCGGAAGTTGATAGAGGGAAAATTGATTAATTGATATTTTTTAACAATGCAAAATGCAGCAAGAAAAATATTCATATTTTTCGTTCAAAAATTCAAATTTGTGCGCGTTGACTGACGAAACAATTCCCCGACTCTGACCTAAGCATCGTGGTCTCGCCCCTCCAACTACCTGCACGGTACAATAGGACCCCTTATTTTATAGTCATTGGCCTAATTGAGGTTGGGAGCTAGGTGAGCCGATTGAGCGCACTTTGCCCATGCCTGGTCTATCCAGTTATATAGAGATCAGGGGAAAGATTTTGCGCGTTTTCTCGACTTAAAACTTATTTTTTTCCTCCCGTTAGGAGGCGTTTTGCGACGTTTATCAGATGCCTTTTAGAACACTGAGAAGTTAGGTATGTGGAGGTTAAGTAAATAATTGCATAACCTAATATTATTCCATTAGCCAAATTATTGGTAAACTACTCGACCTCTGAGTATATTACGAGTATCTCCTATCCACCGATAATTTATTACTCAATCTATCGTCAATCGTTTGCAACAGTTTGATAGAAAATTTAATTTGAATTATCACCGCGCCCGTGTTCACAAAACCTGCACACAACGCCCGTATTCGACGCCCCCTAACGGGAGCAAAAAAATAAGTTTTAAGTCGGGAAAAACGCACAAAATCTCTCCCCAGTGCGGCAGAGACACACGAGGCGAGGTTGCCGGACCCTGGTCTACTGCATAAGAAATTTGAAGAATTACCTGTTGAAAGCCCGCCATCTTCTGCAGAGTTCAATGTACGCTTTGCATTGAATATACATGAACACGAGACCGCCAGTAGAGCCAATTACCACCACAATCAATTTTGTCCAAAAGGGCCAATCGACGAAGCCCTTTCGTGCCTCTTCAACTGATCTCTCCACTAATACATAGAGTGACCACGCAACACATAATGCAGCCACAGCATGAAATGCAACAGCACACCACAGTTTGCGAATTTCAGGGGCTGACATTTCAAGTTTTTCCCACTGAAAATACAAACGTTTTATGAAAACCATATTCCCAGCAGACAGCTCGACTTAAGAATCATAAAAACACATGGAAAGAACCAACCTCGGAGAACGGCTTCGTCTTAGCGTGCATTATAAAAGTGAATTTACATAATTCACAAGTCCTTGTGTCTGATGCCTTTATCCATTGCTGAAGGCAGGCCTGGTGTACATGACGGAGACTTCCACTGCAGTAGCATGGTGCAAGTAACGGAGCCCCAATCTCTCCTTCACAGTGGCATATCCTATTTTTTTCCAATAAAAGTGAAAGATTACTCATCCATGTAACTATCTCTAGATATTGGGACTCAATGTGGTCGAAACCTTTATCGTCGATCATCAAATTGCTCATTTTCTTAATCCTTGTATATAAAATAAAAAAAGTTCCCACAAATATGCCCATTTTTCTCGTTAAATCAGCGGTAACCTTAAGGAAAATCAACTAATTCCATTTGTCAATATATGCGTATTTTACTACACAGTTCATCTCAATATTGGTAATTTGCATAGAGGCACAGTGGCAAGCAAGGTAAAGGAGAATAACATCAACAAATATTGCTGAAATCAGAGGTAGTGGAGTTATATTAGACATTTGCCGAGATTTGGATTGAGAAATTTGAAATTTAACGCCCGGGAGGACCGTCTATCGCACGTCATCTTTTCTTTGAACTTTATCTTTTCAGTGGGCTGAAAAAGTGATCTACTCATTTTACTAAAAAATAATAAAAAATACGTAGCTTATTATATATGACATATACTTGCGGCCATACATGCAATGTCATGTCATAGGAAGCTACATATTTTTTATTATTCTTTTAGTAAGCTTGGCAGTTCCCTCTTAAGGTTGTTGTCGCGCGACAGTCTCTGTAAAAAGTTTATCCGCTGTAAAACGGGCCAGTTTAGAACACAATCTTTTAGCGGTATATAGTCTCACTTGATTGATTGCATTGTGCATGGATAGTTAAAACATAACTATATATTTTCCATATTAACTA